ATAGAAAAAAGTTTTAATTTTAGTTATATCCTAAAGCATTTGTGGTCTAATAAAAGAAATGTTTCTTTACCTAACATAGATTTTATATAATAAAGAATTTTTAACCAAAGAAAATAAATTACAAAAATAAAAAAAAAAAACAATTTTTATAAATAAACATATACAGAAGGAAGATAGTAAAGAGTGACAAGATGTTTTTCTTAAGAATATTCATACTCTTTTTTTCTTATTTGTTTTGTTTTCCTACTAACATGATGTTTTCATTTGCTAAAATATTTTTGTAAATTGCTTCATTTTTGTTTATAACATAACGCTTCGTCTTCTTCTCTATCTCTCTGCATTTGCATTTGTTGTTGTAGTTGTTTTGTTTTGCTAATTAGTTTATTTTTCTCTATTTAAGATGGCTTTCATTTTTAATCACAGTTTGATGTTTTGTTGTTGTTGTTTGTTTGTTGGTTGGTTTTTAATACAAATTAGTGTGTTCTTTGTTGCATTTGTTTTGTTGTTGTTGTTATTTTTTATAGCAGGTTTCACAATTTCGCCGTTGTACGCCACAATTTGTGAAGTGCTTAAGTCTTTGTTTTTTTTGTTTGTTTAATAAATTTAAATACATTTTTATATTGTTTACTTTTGTGTGTTTAAAATGTTGTTGTTTTGTTTTTTTTTTAATACAACAACATTTTCATTTCTTGTGTGTTGCATAAATAGTTTTTACTTTTTAGGGGGAAAGGGTTGTCATTGCTGTTTAAGGATTTTTTTCATGTTTCATTTCTATTAACTAAGTAAATATTTTATCGCTTAAAAGATATTATTTATGTATATATTAGATATTCTTAATATATAGATATTAATGTGTGTAGTATATTTCCCATTTCTCAAAACAATTAATAATGAAAATCACATAAATCAATAATATATATATAATATTCTGCTTGTGTAGTATTTCTTTAAAATGGAAATGTTTTGTATTATCTTTATTATGCTTATTTGAACAAGTTTATTTTTATTATTAAAATATGTTAATTAATATATGCTTAAGAGAGTTGAGTGAGTCTTGGATTCCTGGACAATCGCATTGTCCAAGGAAATGAAATATGTAACGAGCTTGCTTGAGTTGTTCAATATATCACTTGAGGTATCTATCAAAACATCTTTAGGCAAACTTCACTAGACCTACTAAGTGAAAGCCTGTACTAAAAATACGATTCTCTAAAATGGAATACACATATTTAACATTTAATCTAAAGAGCCTAATGACTGATGTTGTAAGAACTCAAAAAGGAATTTAAATTAAGAGTAGTTTGTACGGGAGAAGCAGTATACAGTTTTCTTTACCTGTTCTGCTGAAGATTTAGTGGGATGAGTAGACAAAAGACAAAAGACAAGCTAAATTACTTGCTTAGCTGGCTTAAAAAGATTTCCAAGCGATTCGGTCTTGAGCGTAGCTCAACTAACTTCGAAGACCATGTCGTGAGATGTTGTCTTCCACGTGATCTTTCCATCGTATTCGTGGCCTTCCCCTTCTGCGTGAACCATCAACTTGTTCGCTTTTATATGCCTTTTGAGCTGGAGCATCCTCATCCATTCTCGGTAGGTCTGACTATGCCGATGTCCGAGAATAGATAGTGTATCTCATGGTTCATTCGACGGCGATATTCACCATCGACGCAGATCGGCCCATAGATCTTCCGGAGAAATTTTCTCTCAAACACTCCAAGAGCTGCCTCATCTGCTTGCGCATGTACCTATGCTTCAGATCCATACAACAGCAGGGTAATATCAGCGTCTTGTAGAGTGTGAGTTTTGTCTGGCGAGAGGTGGCCTTGCTTTTGAGTTGCTTACTCAGACCATAGTAGCATCTGTTGGTCAACACTATTCTTCTCCGAATTTCAAAACTGATGTCATTAGTTTTATTTATGGCGGTATCGAGGTATATAAAATCGTTCTCAACCTCGAAGCTGTAGTTTTAAAGTCCGACTCTACTGGACGTCTTACGCGTTGATACCATTAGCTTAATAGTCAGATAATAACTAGTCAGATGATATTTATCTCCAGGGTGCACTAGAGTTGATAAGGAAAGAGCAAACTACCACGAGGTTGATTCACAAATATAAGGTCGAGCAATTTACCAAAGGAATTATGAATGTTGTTAATTTGCGACTGGTCAGTGCTAAATAAGGGAATTGACATGATCAGTAATTGGCAGAAAGTCATAAATATTGGTGCCCCTCCGGACCATTCATGAAGTATGCCTAAGGTATATATCAACACTTGAAGTAGGTGGTATATATGAGCACGTTTTATACAACCTTATAACAACCTCAACCGCAATAATTTCCTCCTGAGATATTCTTCTCCAGCAGAGACGGTGACGAACTTAACGACAAGACCGCCGTTTTTTTTCAAATGAGGTGAGGTTCCTTCATTTGCTCATCTAATGTCATTGTTCTGCTTTTTAACCAACATCAGTGGTTTACACAGTCCCAGTCCCATGGTGGTGGGACCAACACTGAGGTAACCATGCCGCTCATCTCAACTAGCAACCAGTTATCTTCGCTTATACATCCGTTAGGGTCAGCTCAATTTATGATTAGTACTCGAAGACCCTCGGTATCCCTGATTGAGCAGCGTTGCCGCTAGGCGTCGGTTTCTGGGCGTCCTGGTTCAAGACGGCGGGTTTGGTTTGGAGCTGCACAATTGTCATATACTAGGATTTAGGGTTTGCAAATCAACATCGGGCGGTATGACAGGTTTGGTCATTTGCTTAGAGGGAGCTTGTGTTTTAACAGCCTTTCGAGATTTTCTCCTCAGCTGTCACAGAGGTTGACAAAGCTGTAGCGAGCACCTGCTTCGTGTTAGCCACCTTTGATTTGTCCACCAGGGACTGTACAATTGTCATATACTAGGATTTAGGGTTTACAAATCAACATCGGACGGATTGACAGGTTTGGTCAATTGCTTAGAGGGAGCTTGTGTTTTATCAGCCTTTCTGGAAGCTTTTCTCTTCTTCGGGCCGATTTTGACACTGCCTTGTCTTCATTCGCAGCGGAGATTCTGTCCTATCCGAAAACCGGTTGCAGAAATTAACTGCTCTTCGTTAAATCTTTTTGTCAGAGATCTCTTTGGTATTGACGCGTTTGGTAGTTCCTTGTGCTGGTGATTATCCACAATGTTTCCATTGTTTAATCAGCAAAAGTCGTATTTGAATTTACTATAATTTCAAAAATATTTTCCGGAACAATTATCTTAAACGACGCTCAGAGTCTAACTTATTTTTGTTGGCATTAATATCTTCTTCCTAAGTTTCAGCTGCAAATCCATTTTTCTTGGGTTCAACAACTTTTATATTTGGTGTCGGAGTATTTGGGATAGTTAATATATGTGGAGATCTTGAATTTAACGGAGAATAAAATAGTGTCGATTATGTAGCTCAGATCCATTAATTAATTTTTCCTTGTTATTGTCTTTAGTAACAGAAGTTACTTTCGCTTGGCTATCTCGTATTATAATTTCTGATATTGGTAGGCCATTTTTAGGATTGGTAGAAGTATATGAAGGCTTCGTTCTTTTCAGCAGTGATCCTATCTCAGTCGAAGATTGGACAAGTTGATCCAATATAGAATTTTCAAATAAGTTTTTGTATTTCTTAAATCTTTCCCTTAAGCTATTAAGGAATCAGTCGGAGATTGGACATGTTGTCGTTAATATAGAATTTTAAAATAATTTTTTGTGTTTAATAAACCTTTCCGTTACGGTATCATGACTTATTTCTATAAAATTAACCATCACAGACCCTTATCTTCTTTTAAGTTAACTGCTGTACGAGCAGCCGATTCTACACAGACAACAGACAACAAATATTAGTTATAAATTCTGAAAATATGCAATATACACTAAGGCATTCATGACAATAAGACAATAAGCGGTCCATGACAATAAAGTTCTTCTGTATGACTTACGAAGAGCCTCTAATCTTTGTTGAGTTTTAGGACATATAATTAAGATTCCACCAAGCTAGCTTAGGCGAAGAAATCGCAAAACATATGTTCCAAACGTTTCATGGTCTTCTGCACATGGCGTGCATATACCAATTGCAAAACAGATGACATTTAGGGGCATTACTCTTTTGTATTTATTATTCTTTTATATCGTTTCATGGTCTTCTATGTAATGTAAATAAAAAATAAATATCAAAACTTGCTCTAAAACATAATACAAATAATACAAAACAAAAAATTGTCAAATATTTGCTTTGTTGTTATTTTTTTTTTCAATTCCGCATTTTTGTGCTCTTATCTTTCTTTATGTTGTTGTTTTTTTTCTTGTAATTTAATTCCACTACGAAAAGGAATTTATTCCTTGCACAAAAATCGGAAAAATTCAATTTCAAATAGTAGTGCCATAAATTTTGTTTACAATTTTTTGTTTAAAATTGAAAAATAATGAAAATGGAAAAAAATAAACAAACTCCATTTTGTTTTTGTTTTAAATAAAATTTTAAAATTATATAATAATTTTTCTTTCGTTTTGTTTGTGAGTTTCTTTTTAAAAATATATATGTATAGCTACAAAAAACATTTATGTATAAAAATAATAATAATAAGAATAACATAATTTCATTAAAGAAAATTATTAATGGTTTTTTATATATCACTGTCATGCAATTTTTCTTAAACATATATTTACCCATTTGTTTGTTTTTTATACAAGTTGTAATTCCTACAAAACCTGTTGCAGATGATGTTATGTACAGCTCAAATATTTTCACGTCGTGTTTTGCATGACCTTATTCCGTTTTTCCTCTATTACGTTTGTTGTTGTCGTTCTTTGAGGAAGTTTTGACGTTGCTGCTTGCTGATGGGATTTCCACTTAACATTATTGGTTGGATAGGTTTCTATTATTCGTGTTTGTAAGATGTAATAACTAAAAATTTCCTTTGTGTAAAATTTTCATTTTGTGTTGCTGTTTTATGTTTTAAGTTGCCATTTTAAATCGTGTTAAGGATTTATTTTAGTTGTTTTAGTTTGTTTTCTTTTCGTTTCTAATTAGAAATATCACGTCGTATGAGATCGAAGACATATTCATCACGCACATCATCAGCTACTGGCATATAGCCAAGGGCTGGATGCGAATTGTTGAGATTAAGAGGTTCCCATTTTTGGCCTAATAGTGTATTGATTTCCTGGAAATAGAAACGAAAATAATTATTACAATTCGAGCAGAAAGAGCATATGACCACGAACTATCGGGAATGGGAATAGTACTTAAAGAGCTTAAGTTTAACATCGACTTCCACAAATGGTCATAGTTTTCACCTCCTGGTTATTACTAAGGAAGAAACAGTTTAAACTTTTTAGGGATCAAACCTTCAGAAACAGTTCTCCCATCTCCTATCTTAATGAGAATACCGAAGAGTAAAAAACGAATGTTACAAAATAAATTCAAAGCTTTGCCAAATAAATCTCCATTTAAATGCGCCTCTTCTTTGAGGTACTACGGACGAACACAATGGGCTAAAAGCCTGCGAGTGAAGCGGCCACTGAATGACACCTTAGGGGAAATAGCTATACATCCATTTGGTTAATAATTATAACGAATTTTTATTATATTGATAAATACTATATAATAATAACCTACATTTTTTCTTTATTGCCACGTACCTCAATAAATGAATCCATGCTGGCCTCATTGGGTGCGGTGTCAATCATTGATACCTCCAAACGTTTTAAGGTACGACCGCGTAAACGAGAAATGCCCACAATATTGTGTGGATCCAAAATATAACCATGGATAACAATTTCCTCAAGATTTTTGCAGCGCCATGACATCATGACAAGCGGATCCTGGCCAGTGCGTAAAAATAAGTCCATAATATTATTATCGGAATGTTTGTAGGCCTGCAAACAAAATGCAAGAAAATTAGAAAATAACAAACAAATATCAACAAAACACAAACTTACGGAATCAATCCATTGGATACTCTTTAAGGTGGCACTGTTGTTCAATGAAATCCACTCCAAAGCTTCAACATTCATCTGTTGTAGTTGTTTTGTTTTTTTATTTGATAGAAATACAAACATATAAGCAAATTCTGCTAAATGCCTCCCCCATCTTCAGCATACTTACGTAATCACAAAACAACACTCTCAAATGTGTTATGGGCATATTTTGACGCAATATACGCATTTGCAAAACTTCAACGGCTTCATAGGCATAAATTAGCGTCACTATCAATTCTATGTTATTGAAATTTGCCGAAAATTCAGCCCAGGTCCGTTCAGATATACCCGGATGATGACGATCCAAACCATGTACACAAATCAAAAATTTCTTAAGTGGTAAAATTTTTAATGCATGCATTAGTTCTTCGTTAAGGGTATCGTAGTCCAGTGACAACACTTGCAACGATGTACACTTCTGTATGAGGCTATTCTCCATGGCAAACATGGGATAATGACTAGGATCGTATTTAATGGAGGCCAAGGTCAGTTCTTTCAGCTCTTGAGGCCGGCTCAGAGATTTCAGGAAGTCTAAACCATAGTATGTTAAAGCTTCAATTGCACCTAAATCCAAAATATTGCAAGGTGTTCGCTTGCGATTTAAAAATACTTTTAACGGCTCAACAAAAAGTCTGAAAAAACAATTCAAGATAAATAAATGTAAGTTTATTATTGTTGTTTCCAAAAATCACTCACTGTTCTATATCGACTAGATTTTCTTCACTGATATCACCGGGTGGTGTTAGACCCACATTATTTGTTTGGAAACGTAAACCTTGTAAATTATCACATCGTGCAATTCTATATAAGAAAAGAGAAGACATTTGTATTCTATTATATATTTAAATGTTGTTTATCGTCTTACCTGTATAAGATGCGTCGTATTTTTTCAATATGGAAAACATTGATGAAATCAAAAATAATAATTAGCTCGCTCGTCAGATTGTATAAAGTATGGCGGAAAAATTTACACTGACGATCGTTGTCAATATTTAGTTTAAGTTTGAAATTGGTAAAGAATCTGTAAAGAAAAGAAATTTATAAATAGTTATTATGATCAGAATGGAATGCATCAGAAGGATACTATAAATAGAAGTATTTGCAAATGCCTTTAATGGGAGGAAGGCCTAAGAACGAGTTTGTTGCGATCTATACAAAATTAAACTGGATGCTTTGTTATAGTCCGTTCTCTTCTTATAAATGTCCTAAATCTAAACAAGCATAAACATCGTTAAGTATGGCATTCAAAATTCCTTTTCGTAACATAACGGCACGAAAAGTGCTAAAACGTACTAAATATGGTATTATGTGTATTTGGCGATACGGATGAGCTAGAAGAAGAGGTCGATAGAAGGAGATGGTTTGGAAGTGTGTACTCATATACACGAAAAGTATTAAATTTGGTAAAATTTAGTACTAAATCGTTTTATATTTTGTACAGTTTGGATCTGGGTGAAGCGATAGAGCTGGAACACTGAAATTAGGAAATAAAACTACTGTTGGACTGCATGATTGGGGTATGGATGTAGTTTGGGAAATTCATACTTATGGGCACTAAATGGTGCTAAATTTGGTACAATTTGAATTTTGGATGAACCATTAGAGCTGAAAGCCTGAAATTTGGAGTTAGAGTAGGGGTGTAGAATTGGGGTATCTAGGAAGTTTTGGAAACGCGTACTAATGTGTACTAAATGGTATTAAATTTGGTACAATTTGGATTTGAGTGAAATTATAGAGCTGAAATGGGATCGTTCAAGATTTACGTAAGCAAATTTATTGCAACTAGTTATCCCTCTCTCCCCCCTTATCATTAAAAGTAAGCATAGCTCTTAACCCATAATAAGCAAAAGCTATCAAAAATAAGAAAATCGATGATCACGAATCGAAATCACATTTGTGGTCTAGGATTGGGGATGTAGAAAGTTATGGAATAATTGGTACAATTTGAATTTGGGTGAAAAGGAATCCTGATTTAAAAATAGGATTTCTATTGGATTGTTGAGATAGGTAGATATGGAAATTTATATTAATGGGTACTAAATTTGGTATAAATTTCGAATCATGAAATATGGAATTAGTTTTGGAAATAAGTAGTACAAGAGTACAAAATGTAATAAATGGTACCAAATTTAGTATGGATCTAGATTTCTGTTGCGGTCAGAATTGTAGTGTTGAGATATGAAGATAGTTTTCGAAATGCTTACTATAAGAACACAGAGGTACTAAATGGTCGATATTAGTGTGTAAGTTGATTAGCTCTTTTGACATGCTTTAATAATTTCCACATTCGCTAACGAAGTACCGGACGTATGCTAGTTATAAATACATTGATTTACTTCGGCTGACTTCGGCTGAAAAAATGCGGCCAATTACCTTTAATATACCGAATATGTAGCGGAATCATTTTATAGGGTTATATCAAAACATCGTCCTATATTGAACAATTTTTACAAATATGTTTTCCCACAACACGAACCCGTGCCAAATTACTTATAAATGCCGAAAATAAGCCGGAACATTATATGTGGGTTATGGATCTATATCCAAAATTGTCTGCAAAGATGTTTTTCGTTCTCCAGGAAACTGAAATCGGTCTGCGACTATGACAAAAAAAACATGTAATTTTCAAAAAAAATCCAAATAACTGCTCTTTAAAATGGACGAACCCATGGACTAATATACCCCTTTGCAAAACCAAATATCATAGGGATAATAGCAAAGTCAATTTAGATTTCCGAAGCTCTATTTTAAGTATTGCGAGTTTGGACTCTGTATTTAGGTTCCTCAATCCCTCTCCAAAACCTTACGGTTATTTCCATGTTTAAGAACTTGGAGTCTATTGTTCAGAACTAGTCTACATTCATGAATCAACATTGAATTTATAGCCTGAAGCTTCTTTGTCTATTGGGCCGCCTGGCTATCGTTGCATACTCATTTGTTAATAGTCTGCAAGACAATTATAGATACGTATACAACCGATTTTAATCCACAAAAATGTCCTGTGGAGTTCTTGCAAGAGTGAAGTTCGATTAAACCTATATTTGCAATTTTTATGTTGATATGTAGTCAAAGGTTGTTCCGAGGTATTTGGCTCCAAGAGATAGCCATAAAACCACCCGACAGATGATTTTTTTTTTTTCTATTTTAAGCATCTTAATGAAAAGTTTGGTTGACTCCAAGACCATTTTCCACGGTTCATGATTACTAAATATAGATGGAGTACGCTGTAACGTCCTATGATTAAATGCTTTTAACAATAGGTTATTAAAAAATACGCTTACATCATTTTAAAGAGGATGTATGCCTTTTTTAATGAAATTCACTCATAAATACCACAAGGCGATAATTGGCAATGCATTTCTTTGTTTTAAACAATGACAAACTTTGTTGCTTACACTTTTGGTTAGCAATTGCCAACACCATCATCATCGACGAACTGCCGTCTATCTGTCTTGTCGGATTTTGTTTATAATTTTTTTCTGTTACAAACGTGAAATTTTGCATACATAAGTATTATTTTGCACAATAACAATTTGAATATCTCAAAAATGCACTGAACCTCTACGAGAGCCTACATTATATAACAATATAAAGAAAAAACTTTACGAATTTTGCTTTAGATTAGATAATTTATTATAAACCCTAAAACCTCTATATTTTTATATTAATTATATCTTTTTTATGTAGAAGCCGTTTTACAATATCTAATTTATAAAAGTAAATATAAAACAAAGTTTTATTCAACAGTGTATAAACATTTTACAATATTACGAATTTATAAGGCAAAAGAAAATAGCACTAAAAACAAAAGTGGCCTTCAAATCAATTAAAACAGTGATAGCATTTCGGATTTGTTTTTTTTTATTATTATTATTATTTTCTAAGACAAATGGGCGACAACAAAACATGCATGATAATGTATCTATGTATGGATGTATGTGTGTGAGACAATCGAAAGAAAGAGAAAATTTGAAAGTAATCAACAGAAAAAGAAGAATAGTATATATTTTAATGTGTTTGGTATTAGGTCATAACCATTTGGTTGTTAAATGAAATATATACTAAGTTTTTATTTGAAATATAGAAGTTTTTTGTGAAGGGAATAATTTAGTCATATGTTAGAATATGTCTATAGACTAAAAATTATTATATATTTCATAAACAAATATTGTTTATTCGAATATATAATATTTTCAAATTGATGTTTTTGAGGCAGTATTTTTTATCTCATTTCAATATTTTTGATGTCATCAGACAAATACAACACATGACGATGACTTTCACTTTTTGCAATTATTTGTGTATTTCTATTTCGGTTTATAAATATAAGGTTATATTTAATAGAATTTAAGTTTTTTTTTAATATTTACAAATGGCCTATTTATACCCTACACAACTATGTAATAAGGGCGCAACAAGTTTGTGTGGCCAGAAAGTTTGTAACGCCACGAAATTTCTGTCCTTGACACACGTATACCAATCGTCATATCTCTACGAGGCATTATAATTTGATATCAAGGTACAAACCGCAGTTATATACCTGGCGACACGAAATTTTGCAAGTTCGGTTCGGTTCCAGTTAAAGTAATGATCGGTTTGTTTTAGAGGCCGCAATTATGAACCGAAAATTATCTCCCCAAGGAACTATAAATAATCGGTGGCTGAAATGAACAAAAACGTTTGTGTGAGAAATGGCAAAATTGTTCATATAATGTGACCACCGAGAATACACGATTCATAAAATTTGCCAATGTATTTGAGAGATTCCCGACCTTTAACCTGATATCAATGTTATACATGTAGAGGACGGATATGGGACATAATTCGCATTACAGGAGAGCTAAAAAATATATTTCAATTCTTCTAGACTATAAGTTTAGCTCAGCAGTATGTGAAAATGCAGGGGTAATTTGACTATTCTAATATAAATACGTTGAAATGAAAAGTAAAAAAGTGTCACTCGGTATTGCCGACTGATGTATACCCTCAGCATATGCTTTGTGGAGGTCTTTGAAGGAGTGGATCGATGGATCTCACCTTTAGATTCGATTTACGCTAGGTAAAAATAATACGATGTGCAAAATTTGGATACTTCGTTCGTTTCATATAAGATTTACAGTTTCAAAATGTTGACCCTTTTTTGGGGAAGTACTAGAAGTAGTTGACCTATAAGTCCCATCTACAAGCAATATAGAGGCAATATTAAATTGTTAGATCGTGCAATGTTTCGTTTAAACCGGATGATATGTTCGTATGATATTAAATATGAATTTTCAGCACAATTTTGACCATTTTGTAGGGAAGGAATGGACCGAATAATTTGAATTTACGATTGAAATTGAAAATGTTGAGATATTTAAAAAATTAAGACATTGAAAAAATTTGAAGGTGTCATTTTGTGGGAGATGTACCAGAAGATGTAGACCGATATTCCCCATCTTCGAATTTAAACGAAGTTTGGAAAAAATACTACGATATGCAAAGTTTGGATGAAATCGGTTACGGACATTTGCAAATCGACTCCAAATTGTCCGAAACAGATTTGCTCCAAATAAACATGTGGTCTAAAACAAATATTTCTATGAGGCAAATGAGCCATAAGGCTGAGGGTATGAAGGACTGAGCCGACACCCTGATCCTGTCGTAATCGTGGATTATTTACTATTTTTTTTTTACAAATTGTTGGAATTAAGAGTCCTGATTCCAACGACATAACTTTTTTCTTGTGAAAGTTGTGTAATATGGACCTCCAAATTTTGTTCGTTTCGAACTAATGAAGACATCCTATGTTCGGTAACATTTTATTAAAAAGAAGGCCTTACGTGTAGATCATACTTTCTGGGATATGGGTTTAAAAAATCGGTAAAAACCTTTCATGTTGTTATTGAGTAATATTGGTTAAATGTTAAAGAGTAAAGGTATGGTGATAAATAGACCTCGGATTTTTGCATATTTTTTATGCTTTATCCGATTGGACTCAAATTTTGTATTTAGGCGTTTCATGCTTTAATTGATCGATATTTGGGGTCATGTCAAAAATATGCAAAAAATATGCAAAAAATATGCAAAATATATGCAAAAAATATGCAAAATATATGCAAAAAATATGCAAAATATGCAAAAAATATGCAAAATATGCAAAAAATATGCAAAATATGCAAAAAATATGCAAAATATGCAAAAAATATGCAAAACATGCGCAATATATGCAAAATATGCAAAAATATGCAAAATATGCAAAATATGCACGGTATGCTAGGTCGATATGCGATAAATATATGCAAAAAATATACAAAATATGCATTGTCGATATGCAAAATATGCAAAAATATGCAAAATATGCAAAATATGCAAAAATATGCAAAATATGCAAAATATGCAAAAATATGCAAAATATGCAAACATATGCAAAATATGCAAAAATATGCAAAAAATATGCAAAATATGCAAAAAATAGGCAAAATATGCTAAAAATATGCGATAAATATATGCAAAAAATATACAAAATATGCATTGCGATATGCAAAATATGCAAAAATATGCAAAATATGCAAAAATATGCAAAATATGCAAAAATATGCAAAATATATGCAAAATATGCAAAATATATGCAAAATATATGCAAACATATGCAAAATATATGCAAAATATATGCAAAATATGCAAACATATGCAAAATATGCAAAATATATGCAAAATATGCAAACATATGCAAAATATATGCAAAATATGCAAACATATGCAAAAATATGCAAACATATGCAAAATATGCAAAAATATGCAAAAATATGCAAAAAATATGCAAAATATGCAAACATATGCAAAATATGCATTGTCGATATGCAAAATATGCAAACATATGCAAAATATGCATTGTCGATATGCAAAATATGCAAAATATATGCAAAATATGCAAAAATATGCAAAATATATGAAAAATATATGCAAAATATGCAAAATATGCAAAAATATGCAAAATATGCAAAATAAAAATATGCAAAAAATATGCAAAATATATGCAAAAAATATGCAAAATATTCAAAATATATGCAACATATGCAAAAATATGCAAAATATATGCAAAATATATGAAAAATATGCAAAAATATGCAAAAATATGCAAAAATATGCAAAATATGCAAAAAATATGCAAAATATGCAAAATATGCACGGTATGCTAGGTCGATATGCGATAAATATATGCAAAAAATATACAAAATATGCATTGTCGATATGCAAAATATGCAAAAATATGCAAAATATGCAAAAATATATTCAAAATATGCAAACATATGCAAAATATGCAAAAATATGCAAACATATGCAAAATATGCAAAAATATGCAAAATATGCAAAATATGCAGAAATATGCAAAATATATGCAAAATATGCAAACATATGCAAAATATGCAAAAATATGCAAACATATGCAAAATATGCAGAAATATGCAAAATATATGCAAAATATGCAATATATGCAAAATATATGCACGGTATGCTAGGTCGCAATATTAAAGATAGAACTTTGAAATTTTGCACATATATTATTATTACTCCTAGGATGTTTGGTATTGGAAATGGGATATATCGGTCCACGTTTTAGTATATCGCCATATAACGGTTATATATGTTTGCATGTTTTATACATATATTTAGCAAATTTTTCATAATGCCCCAAAAATCTAACAGTTGAACCATGAAACGCATACATACACAATTAGATTTCTATAGGTTAAAAATAAAGAAAGCACACAAATTCGAAAACTACCCTGATTTTTTTTTTTTTTTTTTTTTGATTAAAATGATTGCATATGTGAAATATGTTGCTCATATTTGCACATATTTTGCATATTTTTGCCTATATTTTTCATATTTTTGCATATTTTGCATATGTTTGCATATGTTTGCATATTTTTGCATATTTTGCATATTTTTGCATATTTTGCATATGTTTGCATATTTTTGCATATTTTGCATATGTTTGCATATTTTGCATATTTTTTGCATATTTTGCATATTTTGCATATATTTTGCATATTTTGCATATATTTTGCATATTTTTGCATATTTTGCATATTTTTGCATATTTTGCATATGTTTGCATATTTTTGCATATTTTGCATATGTTTGCATATTTTGCATATTTTTTGCATATTTTGCATATTTTGCATATATTTTGCATATTTTGCATATATTTTGCATATTTTTGCATATTTTGCATATTTTTGCATATTTTGCATATGTTTGCATATTTTTGCATATTTTGCATATTTTGCATTTTTTGCATATTTTGCATATTTTTGCATATGTTTGCATATTTTGCATATATTTTGCATATTTTTGCATATTTTGCATATGTTTGAATATTTTTGCATATTTTGCATATGTTTGCATATTTTGCATATATTTTGCATATTTTTGCATATTTTTGCATATGTTTGCATATTTTGCATATATTTTGCATATTTTGCATATATTTTGCATATTTTTGCATATTTTGCATATTTTTGCATATTTTGCATATGTTTGCATATTTTTGCATATTTTTGCATATTTTGCATATGTTTGAATATTTTTGCATATTTTGCATATGTTTGCATATTTTGCATATATTTTGCATATTTTTGCATATGTTTGCATATTTTGCATATATTTTGCATATTTTGCATATATTTTGCATATTTTTGCATATTTTGCATATTTTTGCATATTTTGCATATTTTGCATATGTTGCATATTTTGCATATTTTGCATATTTTGCATATTTTGCATATTTTTGCATATTTTGCATATTTTTGCATATTTTGCATATTTTGCATATTTTGCATATTTTTGCATATTTTGCATATGTTTGCATATTTTGCATATATTTGCATATTTTGCATATATTTTGCATATTTTGCATATTTTTGCATATTTTGCATATTTTTGCATATTTTGCATATGTTTGCATATGTTTGCATATGTTTGCATATTCTGCATATATTTTGCATATTTTTGCAAATTTTGCATATTTTTGCATATTTTGCATATTTTTGCATATTTTGCATATGTTTGGATATTTTGCATATTTTTTGCATATTTTGCATATTTTTGCATATTTTAGCATATATTTTGCATATTTTATGCATATATTTTGCATATTTATTGCATATCGACCTAGCATATTTTGCATATTTTTTGCATATTTTGCATATATTTTGCATATTTTGCATATTTTTTGCATATGTTGCATATATTTTGCATATTTTGCATATTTTTTGCATATTTTGCATATTTTTTGCATATTTTGCATATTTTTTGCATATCTCGTGCATATGCAAAATATGCAAATATGCAAAAAATTAAAAAATATGAACCCTTCAAATAATTCTAAATCCTTTGAAACGAATTTGTGTCCAATCAGAATTTCGATATCTTCATTATTAAAAAATATGCAAATATGCAAAATCCGAGGTCTAGTGATAAAATATTTATTAAGAGGAGTTTTCGTCGCTTAGCCGAGGTTGTCATCTGTCCTTAGGAGAAGGCCTTAAACCCACAAACACGATTAATTATCTAATTAAAATGAGATACTGTCGCGTAGACGGAGTTGTTATATGTCCATAGGAGAAAGACTTCAATACATATTATACTATTCTAATTAAAAGAAGATTCTGTCACGTAGGCGGAGTGTCATCTGTCCATTGTTTCATAATAATATTATATTTTCGTAATTAGTGCGTTAAATGCTTTAAATTGATACCCTACTGCCTTAGTGAATTTTTTATATCATAAGAAAATATAAGGGAACTTTGGATGTCCATATCTCCGGAAATACCGATTTCCACAAAAAACAGGTATCACGTTGTTATTAGGTTCTCAAAGACTACATGTCGTAAAAATTTCAAAACGAGTGTCCCCTAATCTAGACTTGATCCCATTTTTATTTATAAGCAATACCTTGGACAAAGAAGGTTACTGTTGTAATCTGGAACTTAAACCTTTCAAAATGGTGTCCACATTGTTTCATTTCATTTTAAAGCCATGCGAACATACAAATAAGTTTGAAGACCATATTTCTTTTGAAAGTATGAACTTCTCCAAGAAAAAATTTCATAATGATCAATGACCGGATACAAAACCGAACTTCTTCCAAAAATTATAAAATAAGTAGTATTTTGAAATTTCCTACAAATTATGATTTCATTGTTATATTTGACAGGAATGTATTTTTCTTCGAGATTTACAAATCGTTTGACTGCCACTTTAATCACTTCTTCTCCATATTGGTTAGTCTACAACTAACTACCACACTGAACTTTTTTCTCAGTAGACATAACGGTTCGATGTAAAAAAAAATATCCAAAAAAGGGAAACAATTTCATTACTTACCTCTTTTGGAATAAAACACTGCGCCAATGTTTACAACTTTGACTGGCATTGAGACGATCTCGTGGCTCTAAATATTCGTATATCTGGCCCAATACCAATGATGGTAATTCTCCCCATTCTGCTGATCTATGATGATTCATATCCAGGAGGAGTTTCAGGCTAAATAAAAGTGTATGTAATGTTCACAGTGTGTTGTTCTTGTTGTGCTATGGGACAGAGATTGTGTGCACCTGGCACACAATACACTTGACAAAAGCAACTGTTGGGTTTTCTTTCGAACAAAACTAGGTCCAGTTCCAAAAGTTTTCCACCAAATGTTTTCCTTGTAGCTTCTTAGTAATGCTATCGTTTCTTCTTCGAAGGTTTAAAATTGAATAAAGTGGAAAATGTGAATCTTCGTTCAATTTTCTTCAAAAAATATATATGTATTCATTCGTTCGTTGGTTCCTTGTCTTGTTGTTGCTGTGTTTCTTCGATCTACTTTTCAAAAATGGTGTCCAATATAATGGAATATCAATTGGTGTCGTTGTTGTTTTGGTTTCGTGGTGTAAATCAAGTGCATACAGTTTGCAGCGACACCAGCAGCAATATAAAACGAATTGGCAAATCAACGTAAACGTCGTCGTCACCACAAACGTCACAGAAAAAGTTGTTTTTGTTTTGTTGGTTTTTTTGTTCAGTAATTGTTGTCGTTTTCGAACAGACCCCACAAACACAACAGCGGCGACAGCAGATACAGAGGCAGCCAGACAACATATGTACATATAGGATGTATGTTTGTATGTCGATGGTAATTGTAGCAGACAAAACAGTAAAATTCAGCAATTGTTTTGTTTTTTTTATTATTTTGCAATAAGAAAAAACAGCAATTATCATCACCGTTTGCGAAGTTGTTGTTGTTGTTGATTTGAAAAAGAAATGAATAAATTCATATTTTTAGTTGGTGTATACGCACAAAGAAAAGACAGATATTTTTCATATAACGTACAAATTGTCGTTTTATTTTAAGTACACTATAAATTTTGATTTTTCACAGTAAATTTTGTGGCCTTGGGTATTTTTTCACACTAAACTGTCGTACCTTTCATCAGAAAATGTAAAATTTATTTAAAAGTATTTTTTACGTTTGTTTTCTTTTTTCACAGCTACCAAGTCGACTTGCATTATTAACTGCGAAATTTGCTATTGTTGGTTGGCATTAACGGCGTTATTGATATCAACCTTCAGCGATGGACTCTTCGCTGTAAATTAAATGACAAGTAGCGTATGTCGTACAGCGTATAAATTAGGGGAATTTTAAGCATAAAAAAGAACTTTGCAGTTTGGTATAGTTCTTGGAGAATCGCTTCGTTTAAAAAATATGTTAAAATAACTAGATGACTATTTTGCAATACAAGGTAACTGTAAAACTACAGCAAATCAATTCAACAACAACCACATACAAAATTGTTATTGTATGTAACACTAGGTCAGTTTTATATGTCGAAAAATGTAAACAAAACATACGAAATATCGATAAATTCTAATTATTTGCAAAATGTAAAATTTTCAAATTTAGAATAAAATTAAAAATCATGGATGAAAATCGATCAATCTATAAAACAGTAATAAAATATTTATATCAGGCTTAAAATATGTCATATGTATATGACTTGAAAGAAAAACGCGTTCAAAGGTGCCCCTCTCCCCTATATATTCTTAATCAGAATAAAATTCTATGAAATTGACAATGTCAGTCCGTCTGTTAAATTACGATAGAGATCACAATATTTACGATTTATAGCTCTGAAATTTTGCATAGACATTTCAAGTACGCCTAGCATGTTTGCTATGGTAAATGACATATATCGGTCCCCGTTTTGGTATAAACTCTACATAAACGTACCCCTTATATTCGGAATTTTGGGGATTTTGGACACGTTTTCTAACCGAATTAGCTGTAATTCGGCATTTTGGGTTCTCATGGTAATCATAATACAATTTTCTCTTAACAGATACATTGCAACTACCCTAAATAGAATATGGACAAAATTTGTTATCCCTACATCCTTGCATTCGGGAGATACAGTACGTTCTTTCTGAAATAAAAGTCCAATATCAATAAAACTAAATGCAATATCGACGGAACAATCATTTCCTATATTCTTTTTTACAAGAATCAAAAATGATTCTGATGACAGAACTCGTACAATTCGAATACGAAGCGATTTAAATAATTTGGACTATATACACAAATTAGAACTGTACACAATTTTACCCCTTCTCTATATTGAAAAGCTTATAACTTTACATAAAATTGAATTACATTTTTCTTTTGTTATCAGTCGTCCATAAACAGGCCTTGACACATGAAATCACAATATTATATATCTACCATAGTATAATTATTACAAGGTAGGGCACAGCTACCAACTGATTACAATTTTTTCTCAAGATGGCTTGTTTCATCAAATCAAAATACATATTTTGTGTATGTGTGTATTGTTTATATTCAAGTTTAATTGAAATGAAAATCAAGTTTTACCACGTTCGTCTGGAAGTAATTACTTTGTTATGGATGCAACATTTTATGGTATTCCCTACTGGATTTTGGGAAGAAATATTAACCTTTCATTCGTTTTTAGTTTTGTGTTGAAAAAATGTCAAATGCTATTATATCCATGGTCTACTGTACCAAAAATATCAATATTGATCTCCGTGTCATTATTGCCCCATATAACGGTCTTTCTTGGTATGTTCAATGTCCTATCATAACATGAGTATTCTCCTAGGGGTCCCTATTAATTTTTGTCCACATTAAAAAGTTCGGCTCTGCCGATCATTTCGTTGTTTTGTTAGTATCATGGCCCGAATATCAGGTCATCCAAAAGTCGAATTCGTTCAAAAGTACAACATGCACCTACACCTATTGTCAAAAGTTGTACTTCTAGCGAAGTAATTCTTCTTACAAAACTTATCAAAATTTTTCGCTTTTTATAACTGTACCGGTATTTTGAAAATTATAAACGCGTTTTTACGCGAATTCAGTATATATGAAATATATTTTTTATTCTAGAGTTGTAATCTATTATTTGTTTTTTTTTTATTTCGTTTTTGAGTCCCATTAATCTTCACTTTATTCATGCCTACAATTTATTAATACCTAATAATTTTCTTAGGCTTTTATTATATAAAATCGAAAGAGTAATTCAAATGATAACAGTACAAATAAAAAATATTTTTATAAACATTTCCAATCAATTGTCAGACAAACTTATTTGCATAACAAATAATGATAATTTTTTAAAATTACGTTTGATGTTAATTAAGTATTAGTTCTTAATAACGGCAGCTGATGATAGTCTACACTCGCGTTTAATTACTACATTCACTAACTGCTCATTGTTTACATCTGTGCTGTTGGCAACTCTACTAATCAGCTGTTCTTTGTTTTGGTTATGTTGTTTTCATATCAATACCAATCAATAACTTTATTTTTATAAAAATATAAAAAAAATATGAATTAAAACGACAATATTTATTGAACAATTTAAAAAATAATGAATCGCTTAATATTTGCCCTTGGTAAAACAGCAGCAACAGAACTGCTACCCAGTAATGTTGTCCGTGTAAATCGAGTATTTTCCGAAGTGAAACGGAATTTTAGTTGTGTGACGCAAACACCAAGTCAATGGAAGTCAAGTGAATTTGATAGAAATGGATGGCGAAATGTTGATATTCCGCGACGTTACAATTCCACAACAACACCTGCTGTGGTTGATTCCGCGTCGACAGTTCCTGCCGTTGATCCAGGATTTTTTGCCAGTGTCTATCAGTCGTTATCTTCCAGTACGCCAGTGTCGTATATGCAACAGGGTCTAATAGAAATACACGATTTTACCGGCTTACCATGGTGGTTATCGATTGTGGCTTCAACATTTCTGTTTCGTAGTTTGGTGACATTACCACTGACGGTTTATCAACATAAAATAACAGCGCGCCTGGAAAAAATATCACTAGAAATGCCAGCCATTGTTGAAGAATTAAAAAAGGAAGCAGCAATGGCTATGCGAAAATTCAAATGGACCGAACAGCATACTAAACTTGTCTATCAGAGATCGGTAAATATATTGTTACTTAAACTGATATTATATAATATATTCAGTATGGGTTTGAGACTTGACACCAGCTTTTTAATTAACCTTAGCCCGTGAATTTTTAAAATAAAAAAATATTTTTCCCCTTTCAGATACGCAAACAATGGACGAAATTGATTGTACGAGACAATTGCCACCCTGCCAAAACTTTTATTGTCCTCTGGGCTCAAATACCATTGTGGATTTTCCAATCAATGGCTTTGCGTAATATGATTAATATGATGCCAGATCCAACATCGTTACAGGCCCAAATTGTCGTAACCGAAATGACAATTGGTGGCTTTGGATGGATACCAAATCTAACCGTTGTCGATAGTTCATATATATTGCCTGTGGCTCTGGGTATCATTAATTTGGGAATTATTGAGGTAGGTTTCTCTTGGAAAATACTAAATATAAATATTTATTTTAAGGCATTATAAAATTCCATAGTTAAGAAATTACATCCAGATATGGGTATACTTTTACAGTGTTTTAATAGTCAGCTTTCTTTCGGTAAACAACCTAAGCTATTTCAATAGGTTAGGTTTTGGGGAAGTGGTGTCACTAACTGTTGTGATCATGGAGAGATCTGTAGGTGAGAAAAGGTGTACAGAAGACATAAAGCTAATAAAGAAGTAAAAATGAAGTAGGCATCGATGGTTGTAGAAATTTAAACAAAAACATATTACGTGGCCAGATTGCACTGTTCCAACCACTTCACGTTTCTGATGATGTTGTAGATTAGATCAGGCTCCATAGTTAAAAAGAAGCTTAGACACGGTGGAAGGTCAACACCCACTAATCTGTTCCATCTGTAGGCCAGAACTTGACAGCGACACAGGAGATGCCCAATTGTTTACGTCCCCTCCTTAGCATCACAGAGTCTGCAGTAACCAGTAACATTATGGTCCCACTTTTTGGTAAACGCCCTGATATTGCAATGACCAGTAATAAATCCTGTCATTTTGGCTGACTTTGGCTCGTTCGTCAAAGAACGTCTCAAAATTCCGAAAAAGGTGACAGT